GTGGGCACCTACAGGAATGTTCAGCTGAGAAATTAAATAATATTTCAAAGTTTTGGAATAATGGGAGCAGATCTCTAGATATTCAGTAGCTAATTTGTGTCAAACCATGGCCAATAAAGTTGGTGAAGGTGAAGATGTTTTGCACTTGGTCTTTTATAGTTGTTTTTTTCCCCCAGCGTTTTCTTGTCATTACGCTTGTCACAAGTAGTGAGCAACGAAATTAACTCTCTGCATTTAACCTATTCCCCTAAGGGAGCAGTGTCATTGTGCGGCACCCAGGGAGCAGTGTGGGGTTTAAGGGTCTTGTTCAGGGACCCAGAGTGGCAGTCTGTGGAAGTGGGGCTTGAACTCAGAACCTCAGGATTACAAGCGCAATGCCCTAACCACTAGGCTACCACTCCTCAAGGCAGGCATTAAGGGTCTTGCACTAACTTGGACTTGGACTGGGTCTAAGAACCCACAGTGGCAGCTCATTTCCCCAGCTGGGATATGAACCCAGGCTTCCTATTTTGCAGGATGGGTGATTTACCACTTGAGCTACCAGATACTCTACCACCCTGAAAATGTTATTTTTTGTATAATAAAAAAGCTACTGTAATACACTTGAATTAACTCAAAAGGGTAATTAAAAAGAATAAGATAGCAACACATAAGATAAACGACCTTATGACTGCTAACGTTTTGCAACTTATTATTTTAGATGAGTTTCAGGGTTACTTTGATTAACTGAAGTTATTTCTTATAGAACATGAAGGGTTCTGTCTGGAATTTTCCAGAACCAGAAAGTTATGTTAGCTGTCTTGTTATTTAGTGCGACTTAAAGGTTTACTTTCTTAAAGATACAATTTGTCTTGAAGGGTAATTTCTTGAACTCACTCATTTTTTTTTTTTTTTTTTAAATCAAAGGTTCCCTTCTGGACTTTTCTAGTTAATTTCCAGAACCTGCAGATTATTTTTATTTTTATTTTCTTCAACTAACAGGTTACTTTATATGAGCATTTTAAGTAAAATTTTTTCTGCATTTGTCTGCAATTACCTCAGATTTTCATTCTTACTTTCTGGCATTAACACAGTAGTTTCAAAGAACTTAGAGATTACTCTCCTGATAATACAGTTTGTTATTTGTTTTCTGGGAGTTTGCAAGTTATTTTTAAGGAATGTACAGATTACTTTCCAGGAACCTGTTAGCTATTTTTGTAAATCTTACAGTACCTTTGCTTTAGGTACCAGCAATGTTGCTCTTATACAAAAAAAAAAGAAAAGAAAAATTCAGTCCTTTATAAATATATCCTTTTCCTACATCCCCCACCAACACTAACCTCCACATCATCTTTCAGCTCTGAAATCACTCATGATATGGCCACTGATAGAGTTGTGCCGCTGGTCTGATGTCACTCAAAATCTCCCTCAAAGCCCACTCCAGTAACCACGTTACAACAAGAATACATTCTCCTACTCGCTCATCAGCCACTGCATTTATTTTTTTCAGTAGCTGGGGAACAATTCAATTTTTGCATCGATCTTGCGCAAAAAAACTGAAGAGAAATCAGATCAGAGGAGTACTAAAAGCTTTCCCTTAAATCAATCAAAATACATGAATAAGTTACTGTTACTTTTGTATGATTTTAGGGGGATATTACCTACCTTATAATATTAAAATATGAAATAAAAGCTACCGTGATCTCCAGTAAACTTACCATTACTTTTAATAATGGCTGTGCTGCAGTCCATGGCCTCATGGATGGTTGGCAGTTTCATGTATTACAGCTGATAGAGAAACCGTCTCTAAATAAACGATAAGCGTAATAGTTTCATCTTTCCTCTGAGCGTACATGTAAGCCCGTCTGCATCGCTGTGAGGGTGTTGGGCGGCTTATCCGCCTGTAAGAGCGGGGCAGCCGGCTGGCTCCAGGTCCAACTGTCACAAGGCCGGGGCAAATTCCTCACCCCAGTGCCCAAGTACTCAGATCTGTCACCGCCAACTTTGACAGATGACTTCCAAAAAGTAGAGGAATATAAAATTTGCGACCCACGGCCGCTACAGAGAAGGTGGAATACCTGGCTTCAGAAACTAGCTAAAAAAACATCACCTTTGCCCTGTTACGACAACACAAAGGTTGTATCTCAATAGAACAGATGATGAACATAAAACTGATTTATATACCGTTGAATGTAGCTTATAAACAGAAAATTGAGAAACCCGAACTGCATATTACAGAAAACCATAAAGAAAGAATTTTAAGTGAGGAAATACTATGATCACTATGATATAGCTCATATAACTGGTGGCCAGTTCTAGCCCTTAATGTTTCTGAAGTGAAACAGAACCAAATGTATGGTTCCTTAGTGGCCTCTGCATAACCTCACATACATGAAGTAACATCTCAGCAGAGAAACAGATTATAATAGAAGAGAATAGAATAGAAAGTCCCTTTATTGTCCCAAAATTGGGAAATTCTGGTGATACGGAAGGAAAAAGATAATAGAAAAAATTGTCACACAAATGTGGCCCTTAGAAAACTGTATAAGAATAATATAATAGTGAAGTGTTAATAAATAAACAAATAAAATGCTGTACTGTAAAGTTTTATAAGAATATAAATACTGTGCATCTGGAGAAAAAATAACCAATATACAGCATTAGACATGTTTACAGTAAATAATCAAAAATGTTAAATGCCACAGTAAAAAGCCATCCTTAAAATACTACTAAACACTGGAAATGTCTTTTTTTACTGCATATTTTAATGGTTTAATGTAATATTGTTTCTGAGAAACTAAATATTGAGTTTTATTAGCTTAGAGCCATAATCATCACAATATACAGAGATAAACATGCAGAATGAATCCCTCAGTGTAAAACCGATCTATAAAACCATAGCTTTTTAAATTGAATCATTGAGACAAGTTACTTTTTGTTTAAAATATGTTCTAATTTATGTTGATTCACTTGTACTTTTACATATCGTCAGGTAGCGTTCATTTTCTTCGACTTTTCAATCTGATCCTGTTGATTTGCGCCCAGCTATCTTAGGGTGATATCCAATCCAATCCATGGAGAGAATTAACTTAACGATTAAACATTTGAGGCTATTATTGATTTATAGATCAGGAGCAAAGTGAGCCGTGCGTGTGCATGCCTGTGTGCAGAGATGAGGGGTTATTCTGATGGCCGGCATTAAAAGAAAAAAACAAAAGAATAATAACCCCACAGATGGCGAGGGGACGGACCTGAGCGCAGCGTGTGACGGTGAACAATCGTTGAGGCTTGATTGCTCAAGGAGCACGAGGCGAATCTGACAGGGGGAGGGGTACCGGTCCATGCATGAGAGTGACAGAGATGGGTTGTTTAAGTTTAACTAGGCCTCCAGTTCCCATTACAAGCCTGAGAATGATGCGTGTTGTCGCAGAGTCGATCAAATCAGTTTTCATATGCCGCTTCATGCGTTTGATTCATCGTCACCTCAAATGAGAGGAAATCATTTGTATTCTTTCACAGCAGCGTGCTCATGCCTCCCCGTGGAGAGATGATTCAGTATTATATGGAAAGGTGCAGGAGTCAGGCAGTGTAAGAGGACGATAAATCCACCTGTCACTTATGCAAAGTGATGTAAATGGGGTCCCTGATTAAGACACAGAGTCGTTTAAAAAACAGGGACTGGCAAAGAAGTGACACCCGCACACCTACTGAGCCTCAAACACGCAATCTCTAATCGATTCACACACACACACTCAGAACATCTGAGGTTTCTAACGTCCTTTCACACACACACACTTTAAAAATCCCCCGCCGCCCTGCGCCTGCCACTAGAGCAGTTTATCAAGTAATTATTGTTTGATTACAGCGTTTCATTATCTGCACTGATTGAGTCACAACCAACGGCAAAGGTCAAGCGCCATTAACGCGGCGTTCCCCGAAACATATTTCCACGCCAGCCGCATGTTTGCCCTCCCTCTCCTCTGAAAGGGCTAATTGCAAATGCATTTGTTTGAGGAAGAGAAGACCGCCAGCTCCCATCTCTGCCACGTCCCGCTGAGACTACATTATCAATGCGGCCCATAGCGCTATGTGCAGCACGCACGCCTATATTCACATGGGAGCTGTTTGGGAGCATGTGCAATCATACTGATCCCTATAAAACAAGAATTCAGGAGCTTTTATTGTACTCCTTGGTGGAAAAAAAATGACAGTCTCTGCTTCTGACCTCAGTCTTCAGAGCTTCTAAAGCCTCCTGACAACAAATCTGTTTGCTTTGATTTTTAAGCATCTTGTCCAGAATATAAACAAGCTGCTCCAAATTTATAAACCAGGAGTTGTTAAAACAAACTGAGTGTATTTCTTTATGATGTGTTTGAAACTATAAAACTGTCATTCTGGAGATGCAATGTACTAATGTATAGATTTATTTGCTTCCTTGATCAAATAAGCTAAGCTTTGGTTGCAGTAGCAGAGTTTCATATGGGTTTTTTTGTTGTTTTTTTATACATCAAACCTTTAATTTAACTTAATTAACAAGGTTAAATAAAGAAAATGTGTTTGCTTTTACAAAAATTAAAGAAACAAGTTAATCAAGGGTTTTTTCTTTTAATTTATACTTGACTTTGATATGATAAGTTGCATGCAATACCCTGACTACCTGTATATCTGGTATAAATATGAGCTACCAAAGAGTCCAATTTGTCTTAGCCATGCTTTCAAATGGGTAAAGCAAGAAAACATGTCATTTTAACCAGAAAAACTGACATCTGAAAATGCCTAACACAAACTATTACTGTAAATTTAAAAAGCATATTACATTTAACAATGCTTTATTAAGTTTTCTATGCTATTTATTTAAAAATTATTGATGAAATTTCAGATAGAATTCCAACAATTCCAAATTAAGAAAAAAGGTTAATTCCTTTTGTTTTGGAATAAAATGTTAATCAGACCAGCTTGAATTACTTGTATCCAAAAATCCATAAACACTGCAAAGGTTTTAAAAGTGCATTGGACCATACCTGGGAGGGAAAGAGATTTCCAGCTCATGCAGCCGATCCTTGAACACCGACAGCTCCTTGTCAAACTCTAAAAGCTGGGAAGAGCAAAGAGAACAGAAATAATAAGAAAAAATTATACCTAGACATTAAATAACAAGTAATCACGACTATTTTTGAGCAATAATTAAGATGATCTGAAGCAGGGTTAGTCATCCACATCAACCTTTTAGGACTTATGTCAAACTTTCAACCTTTTCAGACTCTAATTTCCAGAAATATAAATTATATTTTCACATAGATGCAACATTTCAGAGTAAATGTTTGTATAGCAACAAGCCTTTTAATTGAAAACCTTCAAAAAAAACTTAAGGATTAAGATCAGTGCTTAACTCGACTTAATGGGGATGAAGGGCACAGAGCAGGGGAGGAATTTAAGAGTTATTCTAAACTCGAACTTACATTTTAAAAACTACATTAAGTCTATTACTAAATTAGCCGAATTTCATTAAAACAGCACATTAATAATCAGAACATGTATCATATGACAACATTTCTGAAACCTGTCATCTGAGTTTATTTAAAAACAAAGGAGGGATTTTAAATACAGCCATTGATTAACAAAGCAATGGCTGGTATATGTTCAAAACATACTTCTGAGGTTATTTTCAAGTATGAAACATGTAGACTGCCCAGATTTTGGGAGACTAGCTAATTCAGATTTCCGGGACATGAACTAAACCAAGGAAAGCAGCATTCATTTACCAAACTGCTTAGCCAAACAAAATGCCTGAAAACTTAAGTTACTTAAAATTTTCTACAGCTTTTGATCAAAGCATCTGAATTAGCTGACATTTCTTCTGCAATTTTGAATGTTAAAAAGCAAAACAAAAGCAGACATGCAAGTGAATGCAAGTAAAAATAGCTACCTCTCATGATAAATCTATATATATATAAAAAAATCAAATAAAAAATAACGAGGTTTTAAGGTTTATTGCGCCCAACCATAGTTCTTTATGTCTGTTTGCACTTAAAGATTAGTTCCTTTTTATGCAATCACTTTAGTGCACAATGATAAAGGTCTTCATTATTATAATGTATTTCCTTTGTTTCCTTTAAAGCACCTTGGAGCCCTCTAAATAAATGATGCTATAGAAATAAACAGACAGATACACAGTAAGATCAAGATATGAACTAAACTATGACAACATGGATTGGTGTAAATTTTTATCAGCAAAATCTGCACACACGTTTCATCCTCTTTGCTTAAAAATCCAAGTTTCCTGAACAGAGCAGGCATTAGCCTAAAAACAGTTCAGTAGCTTTTAATTCAAGCAGCTTCATTGGGTTCAGCTAAGAAGTCAATACCCATTCATCACCGGGCCTTATAGTCTCAGAGAGGTGAGGATAAGAAAGAGTCAGCTGCACGTGATGAGGATCTCATCTTTGGACTCGTTCAGTTACTCCTACATACCTGAAAGAGGTGCGGGGCATTGATGTCAGTTGACCAACTATATCTGTGTGTGTGTCACTACTTCTCTCCAACTGGGGTGTGTCTCTCTCTATAACAACAGAGCATCTACACACACTCTTCATCAATCATGTCTCCTCACCCAGCTGTACTCACTCACTAGAGTGTACACACACACTTCCCTCTGTTTCCCACCTTTCACAAAACCCATAAATCATTAGTGAAAAGTGCAATTAGCGGCTCCTTGTACACATTAATTATCTGTGAGATGAACAGGTAGCCAGGGCACCTGCATGGCTGCCTCCCTGAGAGACTGACAGCCACGTTTCCAGGCAACCCTTGGTGGACCTCACTTTAGCCATGCCCTATTCCCTTCAGACAGGAAGACAGGGAGATGAAGGGGAGCCATGTTGGTTTGCTGGTAATTTGGGCTTCTGAACATGATTCAAACACTGGGAAACAATTATGTCCTGATGAAGACATCCTCCACGATAAGCCTGACAGCATTTTGTATAGGCACCCTGACATTAATGACATTACATTGCTGCATTAAACCTGACAATATGTTGATGGGTACATAATGAAACATCATTGTAGATGACGTGGTGCACATGGGTAATATTTGGAAGGACGTCCTCACCAAGCAGATGTCATACAGGAATTACTACACCAGCAGAAGGTAAGGGTTGTCTCCCACCTACAGTGACATCTCCATCTTGTAAATATAGGATCGTCTCCATGTCATTGGTAAGTACACACTTAGAAACGAGTCCTGTACAAGCGTTTTGCAACCGCACACGTCCTCTGCTTGCGTATGCGATTATGTGGCAGCGGTGTAGAACAGCAGCCAATACTTGCAACCGCAGCGGCCTCCCAGACAGAGTCTCAGCAGTTCAGGAGGGCAGATGTGCCGCATTCATCAAACTCACACCGCTGAGGGGGGGAGAGTGGTTGGGGGTCACAGGAGAGACTCACATAGTGTGGATGAGGGATGGCAGTGCAGAGGATGCAACCCCACACTCTGCTAGGCTCTCTAAATCACCATGGTGGAGGATCTGCTTTAACAGCTTAACCAATGTTGGCTACAAAACACCATTGAGAGAAATTCTGGAATATTACTTTGCTGCATTGAAATTTAAACCAATCTAATATGACAGAGTTAAGATGCAATTTTCAAAATGAAAAAGTAGTTAAAATCAAGAAGGTGAGTGGAAATTATCCTACATGACCTGTTTCCATCCATCCATCCATCCATCCATCCATCCATCCATCCATCCATCCATCCATCCATCCATCCATCCATCCATCCATCCATCCATCCATCCATCCATCCATCCATCCATCCATCCATCCATCGCCTTGATAACACCTGTGATTTGTAGGGATGCCTTTATCATGGCAGTGGAGAATTATACTTTTTTGGTACCAACGTTGGTTGAGGATTACAAAAAATCAGACGCAAAAAAAGAGACACGACTGGAAATTCCAACAGAACATAATAATGGATCAAAACTAGCAAATGAATACAGCAGGATTAATTTAATGTAGAATATCGTTTAAAAGCCTCTGTCATGTCTCTGACAAGCTGAAACGGGGACAACCTGGAAGCAGACAGACTATGTGGCATCAGTACTGCTATCATCATTTAAATATAGACCTCATCACTATTTCTGACGAACTAGAGTTGCTTCTTTCCGTAAACATTTAAAAAACAATCCACTAGACTTGGTTTCCAAGATTTTAAGACGTTTCGCTACCTCTTCAGGAAGCTTTCTCAATTGAAATGTCTGGATCCGCAGTGAGTTCGAGTCTTTATATAGACAAGGCCTTGTATTGCTTGGAAACATGCAAATGGAAACCGATGAAAGACTCAAACTCACTGCGGATCCAGACATTTGGAGTCTGGAGAGGTAGCTAAACGTCTTCAAATCTTGGAAACCAAGACCAGTGGATTGTTTTTTTAAACGTTTACGGAATGACTATGACCTGGATGACTGAGAATCTTCTTCAGCATAGAGTTGCTTCTATTTGCATTCTATTTTTGGAGGTATTTAAGCGGATTTTGTTGGATAAACTGAAAAATATATGTGTACGATTTACACATGTAAAAAAAATATAGAAAACCAAAAAACGGGCAAAAAAACAGGGATTTACAAGAGACACGAGGATCTGAATCTAACCGGAAAACCTGTGGTGTACAGTATACACAGAGAAGAATTGATTACTGATACTTGAAGCTGGGTTATATAAGTTATTAACTGTAGAATGTGGTGTGAGCGTGCAAATTCTCACTCATCCGGTCATTGCAACAATGAAACAGGCCTAAATCAGAGGCGACTTGCCTTATGTTGAATTTTCCTGAAAACATTTTAACACCTTTGACCGAGAAAACTAAATAAGTGTCACAACGTTTTCAGAATAGCTGAGCGAAAGTCCAGTTGTCTCTGACTTAGGCCTATTTGGTGATCGACTGTGGTACAGAGAGAGAATGATTTAAGGGGGGAGAATTGATCAGAGCTGATTGCCTTTTGTGTTTACCCCTGATATAAACTGCTTTAATTATGTTTTCATGCTTTTAAGTTCCTTATTGAAATGTGTAGAAAGTGCTGAAAGGACCAGAGTTTTTCTAGGAATACCATAACTGAACAGCGCCCCTCACCAACATGTTACTACCCATTACTACTAAGTTGGCTACTATATTTTCTTTCCTCTGCTCACCGGACAGATCACTTTGTTTAGAAATATGGAACATAGATTGTTTGAAAATCAATTACAATTATGATATTAAGGCAGTTCTGCAAGTTTGGTTGGAAAAATAAAACAAAATTTAACACATTTTTATTCTTTGTTTAACAAAAAGATAAAAAAAACAATATAAATGTAAAAAGCAATAATAATATTACTGCAAAATTCCACATAGTTATATTAAGATAGAAATAGTTTTTTTCTGCTTCAAATCAAAGCAGGTTCATCATTTTTTATTATTTTTTTTACTGTAATTATCATGCAAACGTGCTATTTTATTTTAAGGTTGTCGCATCTGAAACCATCTTAGTCATAGTTTAGAGAGATGTTTACTGCTGGCTATGTTTCTACAGTATAGACCAGCTCATGCAATAAGGATGAGCGACATATGGCTGTGTGTAAGCACACCGAGAGCAGCTCCTTAAGTGAATCTTGAGTTATTCATCCAGATGAATGGAAAACCCTGCGGCCTGAGATTTTACGCTACATTTCATCCCAGGTCAATTAGGCATTATGCTCTGCTGCTCTACTGGGTCGGTGGCTTAAAATAATAGAAAAACAAAAAACACAGCTTATACAGGTTTAAGGCGCTGTGACATTATAAAGCCAGCAGTAGTTTGTCAACCAGAAATGACCTTGGGTTGTGGAGAAGGGTCGGCGCAGGATAATGTCTCTCCGGTAATATCGCATGAGGAAAAAAGATGAGGAAGTGTCAGGGCAAAAACTACCCTGTCATAGGTTCAAATTTCTGACTGCGTCTGGATGATCCGCACCCTCCTAAATCAGATCGATGCCGATAGTTAAGGAGATGGGTTCAAAAATAAAAAAAAATGGGGCAATGCTGTGTCTCTGAGCATGTCCACCACCTGTAATTGTGCTTTG